GTTTTAACAACAACAACAACTACCTCAACAACAACCTCAACAACAACTTCAACAAAGACATCAATAAAAACAATGACGTCATTCTCAACAACAAAAGAAATTTCAAGTTTGTGGAGGAGAGCTTTGACAACAGCAGTGGCCTGGGAAGCGAAATTGACGATGACATCAACAAAATAAACATCATCAACAACAACAACTGTAGTTGTCACAACAACACTAATTGTCACAAAATGAATAAAACCTTCGTCTTTATAAATTTAAGTGATGAAGATGACGACGACGACAAAGCTGCTGAAGTTACTGCCGCTACAAATAGTAGTCACGACGTTTCAAAAATTACAAATAATAATAAACAACAACAACATCAACGACATCAACAACAACAACAACAACAACATCAGCAACATCAACAACAATTTGATAAATATATCTCCAATATTTCAGATTCTACCGGAAACTTTCCTCATAAAATGACTAGAAAATGCGTGGCTAACGACGACGATGATGATTACATTCACGTTAATGACATCAGTATCAACAACAACAACAACAGCAACCACAACAACATCAACAACAACGACAACAACAACAACAATAATAATCCCTTCCAAAGTAATATGACCGACACAGAAAACGAAGATGACGAAGAAGAAGACGAAGACGACAGCTACACTACCGATAGCAGCTACAGCAGCGACAATAATAAAGCGACGGCATACCAAAGATACCAGCAGTTGGAGAAAGACAGACAGGCAAATCCACACCACTATCAAAAATGCCCAAATGCTAAAAGAAGACACGCCCGTAAAAGGCCACAAAAATATATTCAACAAAATTCATGTTGCGCCAATTTTGTTGACAACAGTTGTAGAAGTTGTAGTTGGTGTCGCGGCTGCAGTATTAACTGTAGTAAAAGCTGCTGTCGTAGTAGTAGCAGTAGTAGTAGCAGTAGTAGTGGTAGGTGCTGTTGTGACAACATTTGTTGTAGTGGTAATAAATTTTCTCAAAAATTTCAGCAACTAAACTTTTGTTGTTGTCATGAACATAATTCATCACAGCAACAACATCATCACCATCAACAACAACACCAACCGCAACATTATCATCATCAACAACAACAACATCTTCATCATCATAATCAATGGCAACAACATTCGCCACAAATAAATCGTTTTGGTTGTTGTTTAAACAATTGTTAGCAAGAGAAAAAAAGATATTAGGAATAATAATAAAAAAAAAACAACAACATCATCGTCATCATCATTCTTAACAACAACATCAACAACAACATCCTCATCGAAAACAACAACAAAAACATCACCATCATCATCATAATCAACAACAACAACAATATCATCATCGTCGTCAACAACAACAAAAACATCACCATCATCATCATCATCATCATCAACAACAACAACAACATCGTCAGCAGCAACAATTATATCCCTCAGAAGAACTTAACCAGTACGATGACATTAATATTAAAATAATGACAATAATCAAAACAGCAACAACAACATTAACAACAATAATTATAACAAAAAAAAACAAG